TTCTATGTATGATTTGGTTTGTTTCATTGGTTTTACATAGGTATGATCATACTGAGAGTCACACAATTTTGTCTTTTGGGAAAAAAAATGCATTTATTGTACAAATACACAATGCATCCTCATTTCAGAAAGAAAGGCAAATATTCATTACTTCCACAAGTGTTTTTGAGCCCCTGACATGTACCAGGTGCTGAACTGGGTGCTAGAAATCACCCATCAGACTACCCTGGAATAACCATTAGATATTTTTCCAGTCTTTAACAAAATCCCTCTTCCTAATATATCAGAAGTGTACATGGGTGCATTTGCATTGAGGTTCATGTTGCTTTAAATTTGTGTTTATTTCTTGATAACATCATAACAGGCTGTTGTCATAAACTGTTCATAAACATGATTTCAATGGCTATACCAAATACCTAATAGGTTATTCTACTGTTCCCATATTTATGACAGATTCTAGTTCTTTTCAGTTTTTCGTTATTACGAACAACACTGTGATAAACATATTAACTTGCAAAATCCATTTGGGTATTTTAGACTGTTTCTTTAGCATATGCTCCCAGAACTGGTCCAAAACAGATGAACATTTCAAATGCTACTGATATGCATCCTCTTCTTTAAAAGTACTTCTTTTTACCCTGCACCATTACCAAAAGGCTTTGAGGTAACCTTCAAAAAATAAGTAGTTGGCCCTGGCCAGTTTGGCTCAGCGGTTAGAGCATCGGCCTGCGGTCCGGAGAGACCCAGGTTCGGTTCCCGCTAAGGGCATGTACCTTGGTTGCAGTTTGTCCCCGGCCCTGGTTGGTCGTGCTGGTGGCAGCCACTCGATGTGTCCCTTTCACGTCTATGTTTCTCTCTCTCTCTCTCTTCCTCTCTCTCCCTCCCACTCTATCTGTGCAAAAAATGGAAAAAAATGTCCTCAGGTGAGGATAAAAAAAAAATAAGTTGTTGAGAGTGACAATAAAGAGGAAGTAAGGATAAAAAAGTAATAGAGCCCAAGATAAGGTGAGCACAGTGCAGATAGGCAGGCAGACCTCGGAGGTATTGCAGGTTTAGCTCCAGACCCACCACAATAAAGCGACTATTGCAATAAAGCAAGTCACACAATTTCTTTTGTTTCCCAGCGCATATAAAAGTTATGTTTAGCCCAGCTGGTGTGGCTCCGTGGTTGAGCATCAACCCTGCACCAAGAGGTCGCCGGTTCAATTCCCAGTCAGGGCACATGCCCAGGTTGTGGGCCCAATCCCCAATGGGGAGCATGCAGGAGGCGGCCAATCGATGTTCTCTCTGATCGATGTTTCTGTCTCTCTCTCCCTCTCCCTTCTTTTCTCTCTAAAATCAAAAAATAAAATTTATTTTTTTTTAAAGTTAAGTCTACACTATACTGTAGTCTGTTAAGTGTGCAGTAGTGTTATATCTAAGCAAAACAATGTACGTACTTTAATTTTAAAATATAGTTTAAAAAAAGTGTCACCAATAGACTCGCTCCATTAAAGGGTTGTTACAAACCTTTAATTAGTAAAAACAAAACAAAAAAAACCCCACCAAAACAACAAAACGATATCTGTGAAGCACGATAAAGCAAAGCATCATAAAACGAGGTGTGCCTGTCATGTGCAGGAAGGTTTTCCACAGTCCCTCGAGATAGGCTGGAAGCTTCCAGCGGTCAAATCAAAGAGGGAAACAGTGGCTCCGGCCTCCACAGTTACTGAAATGCACAAAAAAACCGTATGTTCCGAAGCAGCCCACTTGGTCTGTGATACAGGTGCTCGACTGCTGCACAAAGCTCCTTCTCCAGAAGCTTTTTAGTTTGATGTATTCCCATGTGTTCATTTTCTCCTTTGCAAGTGTCCATCAGTAGATGAATGGATAAAAAGCAGTGGTACATATACACAATGGAGTACTATGCAGCTGTAAGAAAGAAAGATCTCTTATCCTTTGAGACGACATGGAGGGACCTGGAAAGTATCATCCTAAGTGAAACAAGCCAAGCAGAAAAAGACAAATACCACATGATCTCACTTATATATGGAATATAATGAACATAACAGTCTGAGGAATAGGGTAGACCCAGAAACACAGAAGTAGTGTACAGACTGACAACCGTCAGAAGGGGGGGGGTCGGGGGAGGGAAGAGATAAACCACAGAACTTATATGTATGTATGCATAACCAATGGACATGGCCAACAAAGCCAGGGATGGGGCGGGGTGGATGGGGAGGAGGGTGTCAATGGGGTAAAAAAGGAGAAACATCTGTAAGAAAAATTAAATTAAAAAAAATTAAATTAAATTAAAAATTTTTAAAAAAAGCTCCTTCTCCCCATCGACACCCCCTCTGACTCCCCCCACCAGCTGCCTACCAGGGTGTCACCTCAGACCATCCTCCTCTTTGGCCAAAAAACAAAAACAAAGGCAGCCCAGTGGAATTAACGGGATTTTTGTTGCCTGCGTGACCTGTCTCTGGACAGAACACTTGTTCTTGTACATTTTTGCTCCTTAGCGTGTTCCCAAAAGGACAGAACTGTGTAGCTGTGAGTGTAACTTGAGTTCAGTCTGTTAGTCTGGAGAAGGACAGCACCAACTTGTTCAGGCTCCACAGATACCAAATAATAATATTAAGTGCCCTGAAGACTTTAAGAAATGAAAATGCTGCCCTGGCCAGTTTGGCTCAGCAGTTAGAGCGTCGGACCGTGGATCAGAGGGACCCAGGTTCGGTTCCCGCTAAGGGCACGTGCCTCGGTTGTGGATAGTCCCCGGCCCCAGTTGGGGTCATGCGGGTGGCAACCAGTCCATGTGTCTCTCACATTGATGTTTCTGTCTCTCTCTTCCCTCCTCTCTCCCTCCTGCTCTATCTGAAGATAAATGCAAAAATGTCCTCGGGTGAGGATTAAGGGAAGGAAGGGAGGGAGGGAGGGAGGGAGGGAGGGAGGGAGGAAGGAAAGGAAGGAAGGAAGGAAGGAAGGAAGGAAGGAAGGAAGGAAGGAAGGAAGGAAGGAAGGAAGGAAGGGCTTTCCTGTTAATAATACTTCATTTCTAAAACATTTCATTCAGAAGGTTACATTCAAATTAGTGGATTCTGGGGCCCTTCCAATAAAATGTTTTGAAATAAATGTCCTCAATCCCACCATTCCTGTTGGCTCAGGGTCTGTCCGAGGGAGCGTGCACTGTGGGGCCTGAGCTTGGGTAGCCAGGGGATGGACAAGGAATCTGCTATGGAAACCTGGCCTAGGAGGGCTCCCACCACCTTAGGGGTTGAGGTGAGTCAGGACATAAAGGCTCTGCTCTGAAAGTTCCAGCTGCTTCCCCTTGCCAAGTACAGTATTCCATGTTCTCCTTGAACTTTTACTTCAACCAAGCTCTGAAAAGCCCAGCAAGTCTCATAACACACCCACCCAGACCGTCTTAGAGCTGTAGTTTTCTCTTGGTGAAGGCCAACCCATTTGGCTCAGCCCTGGTTGTCTGGAGTTCTCACCTCTGCTCATCTTTGGTCAAGGGTGCTTAAGGTTATGCTTGAGGTTAAGAGTCAGTCTTGTTCATTTGGGGACAGTGCCTTACTTCCTTCCATTGGGTATTCTGTACCATCACAGTATATTCATGTCACATTGAATGCTACCACCACCCTACCACCCCTTGAGTGAGAAACTCAGGAGTCGGCCATGTCAGCTCCCTCCCTTACCTCCAGGTTTATAGATCTGCTTCAGTTTCCCTCTCTCCCATTACTGCCAGAACAAACTGAACCCTTAGTACTCAGCCCAGCAGTCTGACCTTTGCCAGCCTTTCTTTTCCTACTACTCTCCTTTTCTCTGAGGACCTCAGGCTGTAGCCCTGGGATCCCTGGCCACTGTTGCTCCTTGCTCAATCATGTGCCTTACTGATATGTCTTCTCCTTTTTTCCTCCAAGGCCCAAGTGTAATGCCACCTCTTCCAGTTGCCCCGGGACTGCCATGCATATATCCCCTGCACTGACCCAGTCCTTCCCATAGGACTCCAATGTGCCTGTATCTTACACAGCCCATACCATGTGGGCTTGTGGTTGTCTGTCTGTCTCTTTCTCCCATGTAGCTCATGAGCCCCTCCACAGTAGGAACCACCTGGCTTGGCCCTCTGAATACCCTCGTCTGTCACTCATTGTATAGTTTGGCCTCAGGCCAAGGTGACTGCCGGAAGCCATGAGATGGACTATTTCTGTTGCTTTCCCGGGAACAACCGCCTGGCTTCTCCCTCTCATTTTATAGGCAACATTTTTTTCCTATTTCACTGCCATCACAGACCTTGGATAATCTCGTTTGGGAGCTGCCCTTTTGGAGGAATTTGGAGAAACCTGCTCATGTATGAATGGGCTGTTTCTTTCATCATCTTGGAGGCCCATTCCTGTCCCCAAGGGCTGCTCCTCGCCCAAATACAGAGGGAAGTCGCGCGTGTCCTGATGGGCATGGGGGCACCCACCCAAGAGCTGTCTAATTTTACAGGGCTGTGCCCCAGCGCCAGCTTTCAGGCTGCCAGATCTCAACTTGACACCTTGTGCCTGTCAACAGCCTGGCCGATGCCTTAGCCCCAGGCCAGAAAACCTTTTTCTCAAGGTTAAAAGTAGTTGACCTTTGACAAGCAGCATTGGCTGCATTCCTTGCTCCTTAAAAGGGAAGCTCCCAGTTACTGTTTGCTGGTGCTTATTTGGCCATGAGGCGGGAGCAGGGCCTACGTTGTACCCTGTGTACCAGCAGGAGGGTTTGTGGCTAAAGGTGCATTGCTGAACAGTCGTTATTAAAATAGCCATCTTTGAAAATGTGTGCTGGAGAGGGGGGCATCCAGTCTGTCGGCCGCTTTGCACCAAGGCCCATGTGGCTGGAGAACTCGTTGGCTCCTGCTGGCTTCCTCACAGGGGACAGTGCCACCTGCCCACACACAGCACGCTCCTTAACTTGTGTGCAACAAGAAACCTGACAAAATGACAAGAACATGCACCAATTATTAAATGCCTGGACTTGTGTTTTGAATGTAGGGGTGACGGTCCAAAGATTGACTTGGTGGGCACTTCGCTATCCGGCATCCTGGACAAGGAGCTCTCGGACCGCAGCAATGACATCGGTGAGTAAGGAGAATGTTCTTGCTTCTCTTTGCACAGTTTTGAAGGAACTGGACAGCTCAGTTTTCCCCTTCAGGCAACCTGGTGAGAACTAATATAGCTATTTCAATGCAAGGCTAACAGCTTGGTTGGCTTTAGGTGTTGCAGTTTTATAAACAAGGGAAGCGGGGGAGGTTCCTACATTAAAACACAATGCCTGGGATTTTTACTCTCCCTGGCCTTACAAATTCCTTGCAAGGTCCAATGAAAAGAAATGGTGAATAAACCTTTATTTTAAAGTGGGCATTGGCACTTATACCCATATTTTGCAGTGATTTATGCTTTTAACATAATGAGGTGAATGGGTGAGAATGCAGAATGGCAGGGTTCATTGTAAACACAGCACTAAGTGTTTTGACTTTGAGTTTAAAATGAGCTTTGGTATAATTGCCACTTAGTTCAGAGCATGAGTGAGTTTTCCCAAGGTCAAGATACCACCATGTGATAAATGGGAAAGTAGTTAAAGTCTCTGTCGATAAAAAAGTTGGAGAGTCTTTTGAGGATATGCATGGGTGGGTTTGAGGTCACAAGTGTGCTGGTTGAGGCCACTGGTGGTCTCACTTGGGTGACAGCCCTTTTAAGAAGTCCAGATTCAAGGACCTAATTTATTTTAGCTTTACATCTTTTATTTGGACCTATCAAAAGTTAGCACACACTCATATTTTGCATAAGAGAGGGGCTAAATTTTGGAATTTGCCGTTGTTTAATTGAAATTTTTATTTTGAAAGAAGTATAGATTGCACAGGCAGTTGTAAGAAATAATGCAGAGATCCACACACCCTATACTCAGTTTCCCCCAATGGTAACATCTTATTAAATTGTAATGCACGATCACAACCAGGGTATTGACATTGATACAGTCCACCAGATTCCCCAGTTTTACTAGTTCTTGTGTGTATTTAGTTCTGCATAATTTTGTCACTTGTAGGTTGGTGTATGCACCACCACAGTCAAGATACAGAACATTCCATCACCACTAGAATCCCTCTGTTGCCTTTTATAACCACACCCACCTCCCGCCTGCCCCCTCCTCCTCCCTAACCTCTGGCAGCCACTATCAGGGATTGATTGGACGTGGAAGACTTCTAGCAACATTTGCTTTGGCTGCTCAATTTAGAAACTAATGTCTGACAGTTGGCAGGCCTTGTAAGAGGCAGCAGAGTGCCTGACATGATCATTCTCATCACCTGGGATTACTCCTCTGCTGGGGTGCCATTTTCTTCTGAACCTGCTAAAAGAGTTACATCTTCAAAACTGCTGACCTGCAGTCTCTAACTGATCTTGTAAAGGCTTGGGTGTAGGCTGTGTCATTGTGACTGGAAACACCAAAAGTACTTGTTTTGTTTCCAGAAACGGTTCTATATCCTCAGTCAGCTTTTGAGAAGCTCTCAGGAAGCATGACCAAGAGCTTCTGACAGCTTGGGCTGATGCAATAATAATAGAAATGCTGGCCTGTTGTAGTATTTGACCTGGTTAAAGGGCAGGGAAGAACAGAGCAGTGATTGGCTGTGAATGAGAAGGACTCATCGGAATGAGCCTGTTTAAGTTCTGGTTCTACGGCTGCAGCTTAGCATTCAGACCCCATTTCAAGGCAGGGTAGCCGGGGGGCAAAGTGTCGGTGAAGGTACTGTGTATGGGGCCTCCCACAAGAAGTGACACTTGAAGTGACATGATCAGGTCTGAATTTTCAGATATCACTGATGGAGCTTTGTGGAACAAATGAGATGAAGGAAAGATGGGTGTTAGGAGTCGAGAGTGATTTGATAGTTCCAGTGAGAAGCAGTGAGAGAGAGCCAGAATTAAACTGCTTACAAAAGGGTTGTGAAAGAAGGGTTAGATGCGGAAGCAGCAATGCAAAAGCATCATGGCTGGGCCTCAGTAACAGATTGGATTTGGGAGTGGGGGGAAGGGGAGAATGATTTGTTAGTTGTGAGGTTATAGGGTTGGGTGGCTGCGGAAAAATGAGTTGGGTAGAAATAAGCATGTCTAGAGGAAGAACTGCTTTGGGGGGAAATGTGATGAATTCATTTAAGCACGTTGAGTTAGAGCTTTGGTCGGACATCCCGGTGTCAGTGCTGGATGAAGGCTGAAGGTGGGGGGATGCAGGCAGGGATGGCAGGTAGAGATTAGGACCTTCCATGAGACAAGAACACAAGGCAGGCATCTGCCCACGTGGGTTTGAGTGTTGCAGATTCTACTGCTCTCTGGCTGGGCGACCTTCCATAAACTACATATACTCTCTGAGCTTCGGTTTCTTTATCTGTAAAGGATACCAAATCTCTATCAACTTCTTCATCTGGTCTTCCAAAATTATGTAAAGTCACTTGGTGGGCTGCAAAAAGATAGAGATACTTATTTCTAACGTTATTGGCATAGCCCTGGCCAGCTTGGCTCAGCGGTTAGAGCATCGGCCCGTGGTCCAGAGAGACCCGGGTTCGGTTCCTGTTACCTCGGTTGCAGTTTGTCCCTGGTCCCAGTTGGGGTCATGTGGGTGGCAGCCAGTCGATGTGTCTCTCTCACATAAATGTTTTTCTCTCTCTTCCTCCCTCGGTCCCTCTTGCTCTATCTGAAGATGAATGCAAAAGTGTCCTCAGGTGAGGATTTAAAAAAAATGTTATTGGTTGCCCTGGCCGGTTTGGCTCAGCGGTTAGAGCATCAGCCTGCGGTCCAGAGAGACCCGGGTTCGGTTCCCGCTAAGGGCACGTACCTCAGTTGTAGTTTGTCCCCGGCCTTGGTTGGTCGTGCAGGTGGCAGCCACTCGATGTGTCCCTTCCACGTCGATGTTTCTCTCTCTCTCTCTCCCCCACTCTATCTGAACAAAAAATGGAAAAATGTCCTCGGGTGAGGATTAAAAAATATATATATTATTGATGTAGAAATGATCAAGTCAACAGAAAAAATAAAATCCTTACCATGAGGAAAAAAAGAACCGAGTGCTGAAGATCAGATCCTGCGGAAAGCCCACATGGAAGGGAAAAGCGGAATCCTGCAACGTCACAGGGGCCAAGGGAGGAGAGGATTTTAAGCAAAGTGTCTTTGGGCCCAAATGCAGAAATGCTCTCAAGGAGAATAGGACATTGCAGAGGGGCTGGCTCTCTTCACGGCTGCTCTTGTATCTCTGCTTTTGTGACATGTGTTTATTGCTTTGAATCAAGAAGGAAATTACTTGTACCAGAATGTTTTGTTAGTGCTTCAGACAATTGAAGCTGTCCAAATGTGGGCTGCGGTGAAGAGCAGAACACAGCCCTGAAAGCCATTCGAAATCATCAGCGTTAGCTATAAATAAATGTGTTTCCCCTTAATAAAGCTATAATTTTAAATATTATGATATTAAATTAGAGAACATGGCTTTTTCAGAGCTCGTGTGGGCAGCTCTCCGCATTTTGTCAGCCTGCTATCATTTAGAATGAAATCAGTCGGTCCCAAACTAAGTTGTTGATGTCAGTTTGAGATATTGTTTGTATCAAACGATGCAGCCATATTTCAGGGAACATAATAGAAAACATGGATGCGCTCCAACACAGGCCTGTGCATGAATAGAAGTGAAAATTAAATTGTCCGGTTTTGTCTTGCTGACGGAAGACTCTCTGTTCCGATTGAATGGGAGATTATAGGCCATGAAGTCAAGTGCCATAACATTTACTTTTATTATGCCATATATTGCAGTTCCCACGGCAAGGCGGGATTTATTGTTCTAGTTCAATACTACAGAGATTTCCCATTCCTTTCCGACTAAAGCACATGGCAGCGGGCCTCCAGGTGGGAAGCAGCCTGGGAACTAAGCCATCTTGTTTTAGCTAATTGACTTAGAAAAAAGCCTTTTCATTCTTCTTCAGTTGCTTGCCGTCTTTGTTTTAACTGTTGTTTTTTTTTTTCATTCTATTTGAGTCTTATGAAACTGTTCCCACTTCCATCTCTTTATGAGGATAGCACTCCCCTTCACTTAAGGAAATTGAGGATTTCCCCTCCATCTCTCTCTCCCCTCACCCCCAGAGCCACACTGCACGTAGTAGTCAGTTTGGCCCTAAGTATCCCTAGCTTTAAAGTCAGTGGACTTAGGAAACAGACCTGGTTTGAAAGCTGTGAAGACTAACTTCAACTTGTCCACAATCTCTCACAGAGGCCTCTAGGCCTATTCATTTGGACCAGGAAATGCAAAAGCACTTTCCTACGCCCCAAGAATGCTGTTAAGAGCTAATCGATTTGGGGTGCTGGAAAGGTTCTGAAACTGGATTGCGGTAATGATTGCACAATTCTGTAAATTCACTAAAAATGACCAGCTTGTATTCTTAAAATGGGTAGACTTTATGGTATATAAATTGTACTTCAGTAAAGCTGTTCAAAAGGAAAAAAAGAGCTAATTGTAATTCTCTTAGCACTCACTTTGAGGTCTCAATGTCAAAAATATATATACACATAACTAATTTATAGTTATGGGATTAGAAGTGCCCCTTTGTCCCACTTTATAAAATAATTGTGTTTATTTAGACACATTATATTGGTGTTTCTGAGTGATCTGTAAACTAGTATTTTATAAATATCATTATGTTTTAAATGTGTTAAGAAAGCTCTCTTGCCCTGGCTGGTTTGGTTCAGCGGTTAGAGCGTCAGCCTACGGTCCAGAGAGACCCGGGTTCGGTTCCCGCTAAGGGCATGTACCTTGGTTGCAGTTTGTCCCCGGCCCTGGTAGGTCATGTGGGTGGCAGCCACTCGATGTGTCCCTTTCACATCGATGTTTCTCTCTCTCTCTTCCTCTCTCTCCCTCCCACTCTATCTGAACAAAAAATGGAAAAATGTCCTCTGGTGAGGATAAAAAAAAAAAAAAAAAAAAGCTCTCTAAAAGCTTGTGGAGGAATCCTTTTGTAATACAAATAAGTGCCCTTGAGGTGTTAAATAAGGATATTGTTTTATGAAGTTTTTTTGATTGATTTGAGAGAGAGAGAGAGAGAGAGAGAGAGAGAGA